AAAAAAATTTTGGGGTTAGTGGCACTTTAAGGATTGTCTTAAAGTCAAGAAAGAAAAAGGCTTCAAATTCTTGTGGACCATTGGCGGAAAGATCTTCATGAGGACGGATCAACATGAAGGTAGCAACGTAATCCAGATCACAAAAGCTAAAGCCTTACACAAAATAGGCGAAGAAATGTCCTACGCTCAAGTAATGTTACCACCTTAGTCATGAATTGCCTTAGGTGTACAAACAATGTTGTTGACATTCAACAGGACATTGACTTTGCCTCTTTGCCATTATTTGAGATTACCTCTCCCCCTACTAGTATAGACCATCTTGCTAGCTCTGATGTTGATCTCCACTTACCCTATGATATGAGTTTTCAGTACTATAATTCTCATGAATTTCATGATAATCATTATATTAATATTTTTCTGACAGATGCTTTTCTGCTTTGCACTGCAATACTAGGACCTTGTCAGATAACCTTGATAATCTGCAACATATGCTGTCTGAATTATATTTGCCTTCCTCAATAGTGGGTCTCACCGAGATTAAGCTTAAAGTTGACCAAAGTTTTTTTACCGAATATCAAAATGCCAGGTCATTCATTCACTTTTCAACCCAGTCTTTCAAATGCTGGAGTTGGTTTTTATATTAAGGAGGATCAATTATTTTCAACCAAGACCTGATCTTACATCGTCAACAAATGACTTTGAGGCTCTGTGGGTAGAAATGCAAAATGGATCTCAACGTAACATGATATGTGGTGTTAGTTACCAGCATCCTCATGGTAACATCCAAAACTTAATGGATTTTATTGACTCTACTATTGAAAAGATTGATAGGGAGAATAAATTCTGCATCATCTCAGGATATTTTAACCTTGACCTTCCTAAGCTGGATTCTCAACCAGATACAGATAATTTTTGGAATACTTTGGGGTCCTTCAACTTTCACCCTCATATTTTACAACCTACTCGAATTACTGACCACTCACAAACTTTAATTGACAACACTTTCTTCAATTCTTTGGAACACCTCACCTGAAGTGGGAATATTATTTATGATCTTACTGATCATTTACCTGATTTCCTTATCAAAAAATTCACTTCTTTACCAAACAATGTTAAGATCTACAAAAGAGATTATTCTAATTTTGATGAATGTGCTCTAATTCAAGATATCCAGTCAGTTGATTGGGAAGGTGTCTTGCATGCCGATCCTGATCCTAATGTAACGTTTGATTCTTTTTATACCAGAATCTCTGACATAATTGATGTTCATATCCCTCTCGTACAACTCTCTAAACGTGAATTAAGAAAGAAATCTAAGCCATGGATACCCACTGCTTTAAGGGTCTCAATCAACACGAAAAACAAACTTTTCAAGAAATATGTTTCAACTAATGCTTTTACTGTCTTACAAAAGTCACTTACAATACATAAAAAAAACACCTATTTACAATACTTGGCATTACGTTACTTACTTACAATATGCATTAATTACTTATTATGACTTACACATTACATTACTTAAGGAGTTACAATACAATGTAATTACTTAATTATAGAAAAAAACAACAACAAACAAACAAAAAAAAGAGAAACAAAGACCTTGCAACTAATTACTAAGGGAAATGCCTTAAATGGTGAGAAGGAATTTCCACTTCTGTTGAAATTCCCTTTCGCCATTCAACGTGGCAGCAATATATTTTTGTCTCGATTTTATCCTGCACTAATGAGATGAAGTCGCTGAAAACGAACATAGTATTATTTAGAGCGTTG